AAAGAATTCAAAACTCTCAAGAGTTCTTATGTAGCTCAAAAGGAAAGCTGGACATTGGATGATCTCATAACAATAAGTGTTTAAGAAGAAAATAACATCATCATGGAAAGGGGTCAGAAAACTGTGAATATGGTACAAGATTATAATGTCAAACAATTCAAAGAAAGGAAGGGAAATTTTGCAGAAAAGAAAGATAAGGAAAATACCAGGATGAAAGAGGGAAAACCAACTGGATTGAAATGCTATTTCTGCAGAAAGTTTGGACACATGAAAAGGAACTGCACAAGGTACCAGAGGTGGTTAGAAAAGCAAAAGAACAAAGGCAAAGGTGAAGGTAAGATTGAAAACGCTTTGGTCTGTTTTGAATCAAATTTAATTGATGTTTCAACTGATACTTGGTGGTTAGACAGTGGTGCTTCAATACATGTTGCTAATTCTTTGCAGGGGTTCATAACCAAGAGGCCACCAAACAAGGATGAGGTGAAGGTGTTCGTAGGAAATGGAGTCAAAGTACAAGTGGAGTTCATTGGAGCAGTTAGGATTCAACTAGATTCTGGTTTTGTTTTGGATTTGGTAGATGTAGTATATGTTCCTTCTATGACAAGGAACCTTATTTCAGTTGCTAGGCTTGTAAAATCAAAGCTCACTTTGAGTTTTGATGAATTTGGTATTTCAATTTTCAATAATAAAGAGTTAGTTGGCAATGGAATCCTTGTTGGCAATATGTTTCAGTTAAACTGCAAGACTCCTCAAATGGTTATGAACATTACAAGCACAAAACGTAAGAATCAGATATCTGCAAAAATTTGGCACAAGAGACTCGGCCATATTTCAAAAGAAAGATTGAACACCCTATGCAAAGAATCTGTGTTAGCACCACTTGATTTTAATGAGTTGGATGAAAATTGTGTTGAATGCATAAAAGGAAAACTAACCACCTTAAGGAAGAAAGGAGCAGTAAGAAGTGAAAATTTGTTGGAATTAATTCACACTGATATTTGTGGTCCTTTTCCAAATCCAACACATGAAGGATAAAAGTATTTTATTACGTTCACAGAAGATCACTCAAGATATGGACATATCTATTTGATAAAAGAAAAATCATAAGCCTTAGATATGTTCAAAATCTATAAAGCTGAGGTGGAAAAACAGTTGGAATTTAAAATTAAAGTGGTAAGCTCAGACAGAGGTGGAGAGTATTATGGCAGGTTTGATGAGGTTGGAAGGAATCCAGGACCTTTTGCAAAATATCTACAAGAAGAAGGAATAATTGCTCAATATACAAATCCTGGAACACCCCAGCAGAATGGAGTTTCGGAGAGAAGGAATAGGACTCTAAAAGACATGGTTAGAAGTATGTTGTGTGGTACTAATCTTCCTATTTTTCTATGGGGAGAAGCCTTGAAAACTGCAAATTACATTTTGAATAGAGTTCCAACAAAGAGTGTTAACAAAATACCTTTCGAAATATGGAACAAAAGAAAGCCTAGCTTAAACCACTTAAAAGTTTGGGGTTGCAAAGCAGAGGCGAAACTCTACAATCCTATGGAAAAGAAGCTAGATTCTAGAACTGTAAGTTGCTATTTCGTAGGTTATCCAGAAGGAACAAAAGGATATAGGTTCTATTGTCCAAAGAACACTACAAGATTTGTTGAAACTCAAAGGGCCGTTTTCATGGAAGATGAATCTGATAAAATAGAAGACAGAGTTTTGGATTTTGATGAAGGATCAATGGAGATTGATAACCATGCTGGATCTGAGACAAGTAAAGGCACTGTTATAATACCTGCAGTTGACACAAACTGTGATAATCCTGACAATATGGAAGAAGACACGGATCAGGCACAAAACACAAATCCACCTGTGTATGATAATGACATTGACATTCCAGACACAATTCAAGCAGAAATTATGAATCCTGCTGTGCAAAATAACAATGACATTCAAGGCACAGACCAAAATATGCAGGATATGGAATTGAGAAGGTCAAAAAGGGCAAGAAGATCTGCTTTGCCGGATTGCTATGTATATCTGCAAGAATCTGAGCATGACATACTTGGAAAGGATGATCCTGAGAACTTCAAACAAGCCATGATGAGTGAAGACAATGAAAAGTGGTTGGCTGCAATGAAATCCGAGTTAGAGTCAATGAAAAAGAATGGTGTTTGGGAATTAAAAGTTTTACCTCAAGGAAGTAAACCTATAGGCTGCAAGTGGGTTTATAAGACTAAAAGGGACTCGAAAGGGGCAATAGACAGGTACAAAGCTAGGCTGGTTGCAAAAGGATACACACAACAAGAGGGCATTGATTATACAGAAACTTTCTCACCAGTATCTACTAAAGACTCATTCAGAGTAATCATGGCGTTGGTTGCACATTTTGACTTGCATCTTCAGCAAATGGATGTCAAAACTGCATTCTTAAATGGATATTTGAAGGAAGAAATTTACATGCAGCAGCCTGAGGGTTTTGTTCAAAGGGGACAGGAAAACATGGTCTGCAAATTGAACAAATCATTATATGGTTTAAAACAAGCTTCTAGACAGTGGTACATGAGATTTGATGAAGTTATCAAGACATATGGGTTCACAGAAAATGTCCTAGATTCATGCATATATGTCAAGATGAGTGGGAGGCACTATGTTTTACTCGTACTCTATGTGGATGACATTCTCCTAGCAAGCACTAATCTCACACTGTTACATGATGTCAAGGTCTTCCTATCTAAGCATTTTGAAATGACTGATTTAGGAGAGGCATCTTATGTTCTTGGAATAGAAATTAGCCGAGATAGGAAAAGAGGCTTATTAGGACTTTCACAAAAGGGGTACATTGAGAAAATACTCAAAAGGTTCAATATGATGGACTGTGCAGGGGGTGATGTGCCTATTAACAAAGGAGATAAGTTCAGTCGTGAACAGGCGCCAAAAACAGATCAAGAGAAGTTGGAGATGGCAGATAAGCCTTATGCATCATTGGTTGGCAGCCTTATGTATGCTCAAGTCTGCACAAGGCCTGATCTAGCTTTTCCTTTAAGTGTGTTAGGGAGGTTTCAATCGAATCCAGGACAGGCTCATTGGGTTGCAGGGAAGAAAATCATGAGATACCTGCAGAGAACAAAGGATTTTAAGATAGTTTACAAAAGGAATGAAAGCTTAGAATTGGTTGGTTATGCAGATGCTGACTTTGCAGGATGTGCAGATGACTTAAAGTCTACTTCAGGTTTTGTTTTTCTATTTGGAGGAGCTGCAGTTTCTTGGAAAAGTGTTAAGCAGTCTATTGTGACCACCTCAACTATGCAGGCAGAGTTCATAGCTTGTTATGAAGCAACATGTCAAGCACTTTGGCTGAAAATTTTTCTAACTAGCCTGAAAGTTTTGGGAACAATTGAGAAGCCTATACATATTTGGAATGATAATAACTCAGCTATATTGTTTGCAAAAGGGAACAAAAGGTCAATTGGAGGGAAGCCTTTATCGCTAAAGTTCTTATCAGTGAAAGAGAAGATCAGTGAAGGAAGCATTGCTATGGATCATATTAATACAGAGTCTAATCTAGCAGATCCATTCAATAAAGGGCTACCAAATAATGTTTTCAAGAGGCATGTAACTGATATGGGGTTGTTATCCAGTTTTGATGCTTAAAAACAGTGGGAGCAGCTTGTTAGTTTTCAAGAGAAAAAGGACATATCGGGAATTTGCAGATTTGTCGTCCGAGCTCCGATTGAGGTGTATTATACCTTTTTGTAAAGGGAATGACGCCACAAATCAGACTCAGTGTTTTGCACTGATGTAGGATGTTTTTTGGCCATCTGAGCTCGTTTAGCCTTCCAAAACCGCATTTAAAGAGTTGAAAGTTTTGATTTTGATGTTGTTTTGGTTATTTTGTTTGGTTAACTTGTTTTGCATAAACTTTTGGTTATTTGAATGCAATTAACAGTGAATGATTAGTTGCTAGCTTAAGGTTAACTGTTAAAGTATTGCATTCATAACAGTGATGTCTTTTACTTGGAGTAAAAGAAAGGATCTTGAACAATCCTATAAGTTGGACTAAAAGAATGATCATAGCAGTTATGTCAATTTGGTTAGCTATGATCGTTCTGTGATTTCAATCTTGATGGCAGCCCTATGTGACATTGGATTTGATAAATGTAGTTGTAAAGACTTCATGGAAGTTTCTCTGCTCAGTCTTGATAACTCATTATCATCTTCATTGTTGACAAGTGGCTTGATGAGGAAACAAAATTGAACTGTATTCCACAAGGCCTTACAGTAATTGACATTATTCTTTAGTGATTATTTGACCAAGTGGGAGAATGTAAGATTTGCATTCTAAACCCTAAGGTGGTCTTCTAATCACTTAAGGATAACTAGTTCAATGTCAATTAGGATTACATGGATCGATTAATTTTAAGGCTTGATATATGACTGTTTCAGATAAATACAAGTGCTTAAGGTTTCCTATTTCTAAATGGATTGAGATACCTAATCCTTTAGGTTAAAGGAGTTTAAGTAATCCATGATGAGGAGGATTCTTAAACTATGCCTATAAAAGGGAGGTCCCTATGCTAAGAAGAGATTAAGGAGCCGTATAGCATAGAGAAACTACCCTACATAAAATCTGCCTAACCTGAGAACCAGAACCTGCTGTAGAGTTCCAGTGCAAGAAATCAAGGTTCCTGCTACAGTAATTCACACAATGTCGAATCAAGGTATGTGTTTTGAATATATATAAACCTATTAAAGTTTACACATACAATATTTCCTAAACAAGAAACCTGCAATATTTTACGCTTGTCTCAGTAGAATAGTGATGTTCCTTGATTAGGCTTGTCTTTCATTGTTTTTGCTTGTATGAAATCTATTGAAAGTCCTTTTAGTCGGCACGACCTTACACCTAGGCTAACTTAGGCTGTAGCCTAGGTGAGTTTATTTTTTGTAGACTAAAATAATACCACAGCCCAGACCACGTGACATCCCCACCCCACCCAATTAAAATCTCATTAATAAACCTAAACCACATGTCTGACCAATAAGTTCATAACAATAAAAAAATTAAAACTAACCCTGCACACAAATAAAATCCCATTAACAAACCTACAGTATAGTATACCACGTCTGACTAATAAAAAATACAAACTAAACCCCACACGGGACCAGTTATGCAAAAAAGATTCATTCTCTCTTTGCTCAGTTACCCAAGCCCTCTTCTTTGAAAAAAAACAAAAATCATACCTCCACGTCATTCTTGAAGACTTAATTAAAGGAGGTAATTTTCAATTCTTCATCTTCTTTAATTTTCTTCTCTAAATTTGTTGATACTGAAATTTTGGAGATTTAGGGTTTATGAAGTATCAATTAGGGATTTACAATTGAGACTTATGAATTATCAATTGGGGATTTTGTTGGTCTTACATCTTCTGTATATTATTCAATAGGTTATACTTTATAATGTCGGATCAACATCGAAATGTTAAGAGATCAAAGACTCTTAGAGATTTTTTAAAGAGAAACAATGGTGAATCATCAACTAGCATGCCTTCCGGTTCTTCTCCATCTTTTCCATGTATTTTTTTATCAATGAAATTCAATCATACCGTCGAATTTTCTATAGGTTTGTATGTAAGGTAAATTTAGCCCACACCATTTTGAAATCCTGAATCCATACCTGCTTTTAGTGTTGTGTGGGTGTATATATATATATATATA